AAAATATAAAGAGAGGTTTTCCTTGAACTTTCCCAGGAAGGAAGTTAGAACAGAAAGCTCATTTTGCTGGTATCTGCATCAGTCAGTATTTACAGCTGTCATATCCCTGGTAAGCCTGTGTAGATGCTTGTAATGTTGTTTCTAGAATAGTCTTGACCTGGGATTTACATATTGAATGATTTTGTTTTGAGATGGGGGGTGGTCTTGAACTCCTGGGCTCAAGCATTTCTTCTGCCTCTACTTCTGAGTAGCTGGAGCCAAAGGGGCTCCATTGTGCCTACCTTCAGGTATTGATTTTGTTTTAGGACTAAGAGTGCAGGTAGGGTATTACCTTTGAACTTCATTTCATGGTAGTAATGGAGTTAACAGAAGATGTTATAAAAATGAAGTATGAAAATGAACTTTCTTTCTTTCTTTCTTTCTTTCTTTTTTTTTTTTTTTTTTGAGACAGGGTCTCATGTTTCATAAGGTGGCCTCCGAGAATGATTTTGAACTTCTGATTCCTGCTTCCATCTCCCACGTGCTGGAATTGTCAGCATGCACTACCACACCCCGTTTATTCAGTGGGAAGGACTGAACCCTAGGCTTCACACATGCTAGGAAAATATTCTACCAACTAAACTACATCACAGCCCAAATTTTGAAGGAGCTGAAAACTACTGACATAAAAAGACATGCATGAGGATCAGTGAGATAGCTCAGTGGGTAAGGATGCTTGGCACCAAGCCTGAGGAGCTGAGTCTAATCCCTGAGGCTCCCAGGTAGGACAGAATAGAATTCTGAAAGTTGTCCTACAGCCTACACACACACACACACACACACACACACACACACACACACACACACAACTTTTTTTCTTATACACATCTAAAGAGCTCTCTTGTATCCTTTGTAAAAGTGTTGTCATAAATACGATTATTGATGAGGTCTCTTATACAAATTCTTGCAGTGTGGATTTGGCTGTCATGACTATTTGGTATAGACAATTCCTGTTTTTGTTTGTGTTTATTGTTATTTGGTTTGTTGCTTGCTTGTTTGTTTTTTGTTTTGTTTTCAAGACAGTGTTTCTGTGTGTGGCCCTGGCAGTCCTGGAATTCACTCTGTAGAGCAGGCTGGCCTCAAACTCAGAGATCTGCCCGCCTCTGCTCCCTGAGTGCTGGGATTAAAAGATGTTTGCCACCATTTCATGGCTATTTGATTGTTTTTTGATACAAGGTCTCACTGTGTAGCCCTGGCTATCCTGGAACACTTTGTGTAGACCAGACTGGCCTTGAACTCACAGAGATCCACTTGCCTCTGCTTCTAGAGAGCTGGGATAAGTGTGTGTGTGCCACCACATCAAGCTCTATTTTTTTCAGCAAAGATAAATCTCTTTACCACTTGCTAGAATGTCACCTTCACCTGGGGGGGGGGTATACTCATCCCTGTGACAGTCTTCTATATCTCACTGCAGGAAGATTTAAATCTTGGGAGTTATCTACCCAATCAACCATCTTTCTTTTCATGAAAGAAAGCTGAGCCGGGTGTTGGTGGCGCATGCCTTTAATCCCAGCACTCGGGAGGCAGAGGCAAGTAGATCTCTGTGAGTTCAAGGCCAGCCTGGTCTACAGAGCAAGTGCCAGGATAGGCTCCAAAGCTACACAGAGAAACCCTGTCTCGAAAAACCAAAAAAAGGAAGGAAGGAAGGAAGGAAGGAAGGAAGGAAGGAAGGAAGGAAGGAAGAAAGCTGAGACTGAGATAAGGCCCTTCATCAAGGACCCCTGGAAAAGTCTATGACATCACCAGGATGAGAACTAGGTCTTTGAACTCCAGGGTGCACAGCCAGGGCTGCTCCTACACCCAGCATGCTTTCCCCTGGCTCTGTCTTATGAGACCAGAGGCTGACTTGGCTTCCTAGGCAACTCCTTCACCAATCTGCCCAGCTCTGAGCACCCAGGCTCAGAGGCTGAAATGAGGTCTGGGGTGGTTTGGTGGCACCGGTGATTATAAGGAACTCTTGGTGCTGGGCCAGAGATAGGCAAAGACAGACTTTCTGAAATTTGGCAGAAGTTATGGTGGAGACTATGTATGTGTGTTTGGGGTTATTCATGCCAAACTCATGATTCTCTCCCCTCAAGCTTTCTTGAGTCACTTACCCCCTAAGGTTGGGACACATTCTTGAAGGAATGGTCATGGGGTTCTCCTGCCCTTACAGCCAGTAGGCCAGTTTCGGCTCCCCTGGGGACTGAAACCCCTCAGTGATTTAGTGGCTCTTTCCTCTGCCTTGGACCAACCTCCTGAAACATTGAGGAGACTGGAGGACAGAGACATCTGAATCCCATTTCCAGTGAGGGCTTTGATTCTCATTCTCAAACGAACCTTCTTGTCCTTCCTCTCCCTGCCCTGAAATGCACCTTCACCCTCCATATGCCATCCCTCGGGGCCAGTCTGCGCTGGGCCAGGACTAGGCATAAATTCAAATACTCCTCCTTGCCATTTTGCCATTTCCGAGCCTTGGCAGAAAAACAAAAACAACCGCTTGGCCTTAGGGAGCGGCTCCACCAATTCAGGTCATGGGGAGCAGCGCCCTCGTGTGGCTCCCAGAAGAAGCGCGGCTCTTGGCCCAACCCTTCCTTTCTATGCATTCATCGAACAAATATTTATTGAGAGGCACTATGTGCTAGGTTGCTCAAGGCTCAGGGGCCAAGTTAAGTAAGATACTACTTCGTGGACTGCACAGCTGTATGTGTGTGTATACAGAGGCAGGCAATAAACCACAAACAATAAACAAGGTTACTAGTAGTGATAACTGCTAAGAAAAACAAAACAGAAATGTCATAGAATGACTCCATAGGGAAGGTTCCTTGAGTAAGTCATATTTGAGATGAGACCTAGGTGCAAGGATACAGGCATATGAGGACCCAGGGAGAAAACATTCCTTGCAGAGAAAAGCAAACCCCTTGGGCAGGAGCAGGTTTTCCATTATCAGAAAGGGGCTGGGGGCTAGAGGGTAGGCGGTTAGAAAGAAGGCACAAAAGAAGGGTGGAGATGTGTTCAGGAGAGTGGAACGGTGCCGTCAAGAAATGCAACTTGATGCTGCCAGCTAGGCATCCTGAAGTGCTCCCCTCAGATACTCAGGTCTTCTATTCAGGGAGAGTATGTGCTGATGTCTTCCTTTTTCTTATCCATGGAATTGGAATTTCATCTTAGAGGAGGAGACTTTTTTTTGTTTTTGTTTTTTTTCAAGACAGGGTTTTTCCGTAGCTTTGGAATCTTCCCTGGAACTGGCTTTGTAGGTCACCGCCTGGCAGGAAGAGACCTTTTTAAAGGTACATTATATAGCCAGTGGTGGTAGCACATGCCTTTAATCCCAGCACTTGAGAGGCAGAGGCAGGTGGATCTCTGTGAGTTTGAGTCCAGTCTAACAGAGCCAGTTCCAGGACAGCCAGGGTTACCTAGAGAAACCTTGTCTCGAAAAACCAAAAACCAAACCAAACCAAAAAAGGTACATTATTTAGGCTTGCAGCTGGAGAAAGGAGTGCCCTTATATATAAAAGTCAGAAAGGGGTTGAACTCAAGGCATAGTTCATTAATATTGTGTGTGTGTGTGTGTGTGTGTGTGTGTGTGTGTGTGTGTGTGTCCTCATGTAGAGCTTCAGCCTCCCAAAGCAGCTGGGATTATAGGTTTGTGTCACCAGGTCGAGGTTAGAAAGGCTGGAGAAGGAGTAAGGGGTATTGGATGTAGGGGGATGTTCTGCCTACATATATTTCTGTCCATCATCTGTGTACCTTGTGCCTGAGACGACCAGAAGAGGGGGTATCATATTCCATGGAACTGGAGTTACATACTGTTGTGAGCTGCCATGTGGGTTCTGAGAATCAAACCTGGGTCCTCTGGAAGAGCAGCAAATGTTAACCACTGAACCATCTTTCCAGCCCCAAAAAATATTTTTAAAAGAATCCTTAGCTAGGGGTGGTGACATATTCCTTTAAGCCCAGTAGTTATGGGGCAGAAGCAGGCAGATCTCTGAGTTCAAGACCAACTCAGTCTCTGTAACAAATTTCAGGCCAGCCAGGGCTACATAGTGAGACCCTGTCTCAAACAAACAAAATCCTTATGGCTGCTGTTTTGAAGACGGACTTTGGAAAGTTAGGAAGATCCAAAGGCAAAGTTACAAAAGGCTAGTGGGCTACTGAAATAATTCAGGTAAGAAATGGTAGTGGCTCGGATCATAGTAGCAGTGCTGGAGCTGGGGAATGTGGTTGGATTCTGGGCATATTTGGAAGGTAGAATCAATTGAATTTGATAAAGGACCACATTATTTTTTTGTAACTTTGGCTCCAGGAACAACACACCACACACACACACACACACACACACACACACACACACACACACACACCTCTACCACCTTCAGTGAGGGTCCAGGTTAAAGGGGCACACAGCTAACTTGTATTTCCAGATATTGGATAGAAGAATTTAAGATATAGTCTTTGTGTTCCCCATGACCTGTCTCCACTTTCCAAAGTTAGCCCATTTAACAGTCCTCTACCTTCTGTCTCCCTTGTCCTGCCTAGCTTCCACAAGCCTAGTTATTTACTAGTTCCTTCTTTTTCCAAACGTGTGTCTGTGGCCCATTGCTATATTGTTGACATCCAAATAGTCCTGGAATTTTGGTGTCAATATTTATTTGATACAGGATGGCCAGGGGCAACAGAATATGGGCTGGGTATCAGTTACTCCTATTTATTTACACAAAATACAGTGATGTCAGACCTGAGGCACATACACAGCTTGGGCACTTCTGAAAGGTATGGGAATGGTTATATTAGTCTTACAAACACTCAGGTCAGCAGGGGTCAGAGAACAAGTAGAGGAAAAGATGACTGGTATTTTCTGGAGTCAACAGGCTTTGCTTTGCCTTGTGCTGTGCTGTGGTGAGGGATGAGGTATAAATGCAACCAGCCAGAGGGCCCCCAGGACAGCATAACTCCCAAGATTTTGTGCATGCCTCTCCAAGATGAAGCTGCCAGGCCAAGAGGAGTTTGAACATTCTGGTGCTCATGGAAATGTTCTTGCAGAGGAACTGGACAGTGGCCTTGGCCCTGGTCCCAGTCTTGGTGGTCCCTCAGACACAAACAGTGAGGAATCGGGGGTATCCAAGGATCCTCTGCTCTTCATTCAACTAAATGAGCTGTTGGGCTGGCCTCAGGCACTGGAGTGGAGAGAGACAGGCAGGTGAGTGGAACCTGGCTAGTTCTACAGCATTCTTCCCCTCTCAAATTAGGATTTTGCCCATGTATTCTTTCCATAAGACTCAGCTTCCTCTACAATATGGTTTTGAGTTCTCTGAGACCCAGTGAAGGGTGACTGCTCAGGGGGAGAGATTTCTGTACAAGTGGGTCAAAGGCAGCCACACTGTCCTATGTTCTAGACATGGGACAGTCTCCCAGTAGCACTATCTTTCCCTTCATCACAGGTGGGTGCTGTTCGAGGAAAAGCTAGAAGTAGGTGCAGGCCGGTGGAGTGCCCCATATGTGCCTACCCTGGCATTACCCAGCCTCCAGAAACTTCGAAGCCTGTTGGCCGAGGGTATCGTACTGCTGGACTGTCAAGTTCAAAGCCTCCTGGAGCTTGTGGGTAGGATTGGGAGATATTCCATTCCCTGGGAATTTCCCCCCAAATCTTAGAATCTTCCAGAGCCTATTTCACCTCCATCCTACCCTAGGGACTTGCTATTTCTGTCACAGAGATAGTTTTGGAAAAGTAGCTGAGGGCAGTGACACATGCCTTCAATCTCAGTACCTGGTAAGCAGAGAACAGGGGACCACGGAAAATCAGGCAGCCCAGTTTATGTAATGAGAATTATGCTTGTCTCAAAGCAACAGAGAGGGGAGTTTATTAGCCTTTTCATTTCCTGAGACTCCAGAAGTAAAGACTCAAGGAATGAGAAGCAGGGAAGGGAGCCAGTGGCAAGACAGAGCGCTCTCTGGAGGGGGTTTGAACTTCATGTCTATTCTCAGAGCAGGTAATCAGTGGGGAGTCACTTAACCCGGAACTGAGAGGGCAGCTCCAAGCCTTGCTGATGCAGAGACCCCAGCACCACATCCAGACCCCAGGCATCAGGCCCTGCAGAGGTAAGAGATGCTTCTTTGGGCCTAGGATCAAGACTTGGAGATGGAAGGCTCGCAGGTATCTTCTATGTGTCTTGAGCCAGTGGTGGCCTCGACTTGGCTCAATCCTCAGGCCAAGATTCATGGGCAAGAGGAAACTGCAGGTAATGGTGAAGGCAGAAGAGTGGGAGTGCCAGGGCGGTATCAGCCAGGGCTCTCCAGAGGGGTGTACTTGGCAGGTATTGTGCCAGGAGCTTTACATGCAGTATCTTCTCATTTAATCTTCAGTTATCCTGGAGACTTGTATCACAACTATCACCAAGTTGGCCTGCCCCTAAAGCTTGTGCTCAGTTTAATCAATATGTACTACTGTTTTGTAGGGTCTAATGCTTTCAGAAATGCTTCTCATGATGAGGACACCCCCTCGAAGGTTTGTGGTTCTTCCTTGGGCAAGGCTGGGAGGATGATAGGAATTAAGAGATCCACCTTTCACCAGGCTCCTCAGTTGAGTTTCTGCCTAAGTAATATCTCATACTCTGCCATCCAGCACTGGAATCCCTTGAGACAGAAGCTGCCTCCAGGAGCTGAGGCAGCAGCAGTGTTGGCAGGAGAGCTGGGTTTCCTAGATCAACCACTAGGGGCCTTCGTAAGACTGCGGAATCCAGTGGTGCTGGAACCTCTTACAGAGGTGATCTTGCCTAGCAGGTGAGGTGACTGAGAGTCAGGGCTCTTGGGCACAGAAGAAGGGCTTTTACTGAGGAGGGTGGAGTCATTGGGTCCAGTTCACTAAGAGTGTCTAGGAAATGCCACCCAGAGGTCATTCTGAAGAGCTGGCATATACTTGAGCAAGTAGGGAGGTCAGAGCCAAGTGGCAGAAAGCTACTCTTAGCAGACACTGCTGCCCTATGAGAAAGCAGCCTGAGGCCCTATTTCTTCCTCAGGTTTTTCTGCCTCCTTCTGGGTCCTCCCACCCAGGGAAGGAGCTACCATGAGATGGGTAGGGCAGCAGCTGTCCTCCTCAGTGACCCGGTGAGTGGAGCATTCATATAGACTCTGATCAGAAATAACAGTGAGGCTGAGTGTGGCTTTGTGTTCGTAACATGGGGCCTGATGTTTCCATAGCTACTGATGTAGCTGCATTATAATAGGCCCAGAATGAATGAATGCATTTGTGGGTAAATTATGAATTTCTCCTTGTGTATGGTTTTGTGAAAACACATTTAAGAGTCCAAATAATGCATTAACTGACCTCTCTGTGACCTTAAATGCAGCAATTCCAGTGGTCAGTTCGTAGGGCAAGCAATCTTCATGACCTTCTGGCGGCCCTGGATGCCTTCCTACAGGAGGTGACAACTCTACCCCCAGGTCGGTGGGACCGGACAGCCCGGATTCCCCCGCCCAAATGCCTAGCCTCTCAGCACAAAAGGTACCTGGGGTACTAATTCCACAGATCTTCCCCTTAGTTATGGGTCTACAGCAAACCCCAGTTTGGCATTCACTTTGTGGTGCTGTGACCTGGATCTATCTTCTACCTGACAGTGTGAGGGCGCCTTAGCCGCCACCGCAGTAGCCTCCAGGGGGCGGGGCGTCACATACTCTGGAATCAAATCTCAGGTTGGCTGGAGATGTCAACCCACCCGGGGTTCCCTTTCTGCTCAGACTCTGCTCAGAAAGGCAGGAAGTCACAGGCTTTTCTGGTGGGAGTGGGGCCCAGGCAGGACAGCACACACCCGGTCCAGAGTTGCAAAGGACAGGCAGGTGAGGGGAGCTGGGTGGAAAAAAGGGTTGGGATCCTGTGGAAGTGTAACAGGGACATCAAAATGTGCAGGCAATGCGGGAGGGGCTCTCCTGGATACAAAGAAAAGCAGCGTGCAGGCGTGGGGGCGTGGAAACATGGATCGCTGACTACCCTCGGGTGGGAGGCTGTTTGGGGGTCTTGTCCAGGACGTGCGCCGGAAGGCATGCTGGTACCCAAGCGATTTTTTGGACGCCATACACCCTCAGTGTTTCTCAGCTGTGCGCCACATTTACCTGGCCACAGTCACGAACGCCATCACTTTTGGGGGTCTGCTGGGAGACGCCACTGAAGGTGCCCAGGTGCGTGGGTTTGTATGATAAAGGATTGGCATAATCTTTGGTGTCTCTCCTGCCTACTAACCTCTTGGGACTGTGAGTGGGGCTGAGACATCCCTGGAGCTTGGACTTCTATGTTGGGATGCCAGGGTCCTATGAAGAGCTAAGTCTACTTCCAGGGAGTGCTGGAGAGTTTCCTGGGCACAGCAGTGGCTGGAGCTGCCTTCTGCCTAATGGCTGGCCAGCCCCTCACTATCCTTAGCAGCACAGGGCCAGTACTGGTGTTTGAGCGCCTGCTCTTTTCTTTTAGCAGGTAGGAGGTCTCTCTCATCTCTACAGTCCATTGGTGGGTGAAGAGGAGAGGGTGGGGGAGGGCTGTCTCTGGCTTTGAGGAGCACCTGCCCTTGGTTAGGTTGGGCAGCAGCCAGCCCTGACTGTCCTCACTCCCACAGAGATCACAGCCTGGACTACCTGCCCTTCCGCCTGTGGGTAGGCATCTGGGTGGCCACATTCTGCCTGGTGCTGGTGGCTACAGAGGCCAGCTTGCTGGTGCGCTCTTTCACCCGATTTACAGAGGAAGGATTCTGTGCTCTCATCAGCCTCATCTTCATTTATGATGCTGTGGGGAAAATGCTGAACGTGATTCGTGCCTACCCAATCCAAAGGCCAGGATCTCCTGCCTATGGTTGCTTCTGTGAATACCCAGGCCCAGGAGGTAGGTGAGGGAAACTGGTACCTTGGCCAGGTGAGGAAAGAGGTGGGAAATGGGCTGAGTTCAGGAGAATGTAGAGTACTTATCCAATAGCCAGAAGTCTTCTTTCTGGTTCAGGATCAGTTACAAAATAAATCTATGGAAATCCCAGGATCGTCTTTATTTCTGACAGCCGTGAAAGAAGAGTATGGGTTAATGGGCTTCCTAAGAGTGAAGCCAAAATTAGACTTATCCACCCAAGGTTGGCAGTACTGAATGGGAGACTGTTTTGCACCAGAGGAGCAGAACTAAATACACCAACTATGCAGCTTACTCTCCAGAGAAGAGAGGAAAGGGAGTACTAGGCATGCCTACCTTCACTTCTTAAAGTCCCAAAGCAAATATATCACAGTCCCTGGCTCCTGAGAGAAAGTAGATGATAAGGTGGAGGGATTTGGAATGTTATGCTTGCATAGACCCGTCCACATGCAAGGTAGTACCAGGAATGGGGGAAGGAGCCCTTTGAATGGAGGGGGCAGTCCAGGGTGAGACAGGGTCTCATGTACCTAGTATGGTCTCCAACTCACTAGGTAACCAATGATAACCTTGAACCCCTGATGCTCCTGCCTCAGCCTTCAACTGCTGAGAGTATAAGCATGAGCCATCAACTACCTAGCTAAAAAAAAACTTTTCTAACTCTGTCTGATTTTACTAGTCCTGAATGAGACCACCTCTTGCTCTAGACACATAGATCTGTGAGCTTATGCATTTGGTCCATGTTTGATGAGCAAGTATTGTGGCTCAGTTTTGTGCTCAGCACCAGAGACACAGATGGTAGGGAATCTGAGAGAGTGAGTGTATGGAGTAGCAGCTTGAGAACACACTGAAGTGCAACAGAATCAGCACAATGATCAGAATCAAGAACTTTCTAGTTCAGGTGGAACAACAAAAGTTTCTCAAGGAAGAGGACTTACACCAGAATTCTCTGCTTCCCAGGGAATGCATCTGAGTGGACAAGTACAAAGCACAAAGACACAGATGTCTTAAGCGTGGTGAGAGCCTGCACCTAGAAAGGCCTGAGAAAGAAAATCCTTAGAGGTTTTCGGCTCTTCCCACCCACAGAGGAAAGAAAGCTTCAATGGTTACTTGGATTTAGCCTATGACCAATCCTGGGTTTCCTGATGTCTCTGTGGGTTCCCCTTCCATTGAGGTGGGTCTAGCAGAGTGGGGCACTTTCGCTGTTGCCCACTGTCCAATACCTCACCACTCCTCTATTCAGCACCTAGGCCTGGTCAATGCATCCTTGCTGTCTCCACCTGAGTGCATCCAGCAAGGAGGCTACCCTCGTGGTCCCAGCTGTCATACAGTGCCAGACATTGCCTTCTTCTCCCTTCTCCTCTTCTTGACTTCTTTCTTTTGTTCCATGGCCCTCAAGCATGTAAAGAGCAGCCGCCTCTTCCCCTCTGTGGTAAGTGACATTTTTCTTTCTGTGTGAAAGGTCTGGTTTTAGCCCGGGATCCTGTCTACAAATGGGAAAGGCTAAAAAAGAAATGGGATGGCAGGCCCAGAGTAAACTGTCCAATATATGGCCAGGTGCGCAAGGTGTTCAGCGACTTTTCCTCAATCCTGGCCATCCTGCTGGGCTGCGGCCTTGATGCCTTTCTGGGCCTAGCCACACCAAAGCTCTTGGTACCCACAGAATTCAAGGTGAGAGCTGGACAGAATGAGGAGGGGAGGAAGGGGATGGTGGAGCCAGTGACTTTGGAGTAATAAGTTGCATAAATTCCATACTTTTCTTCCACTGAGCCTTTTCCTTCACTCATGATAGAAACAGTAAAAAACAGTGGCCTCACAGAGTTGTTGAGTGGTAAAATGAGGTATTTCAACAGACACATGAGGAATGAAGAAATCTGTATATAGTAGCTATTATTATAGGGTAGGTGTTGGAGGATGGGCTCTGGGCAGCAGGCTTGGATTTGAATTCCATTTTTGCCTCTTCCTAGCAGGCTCTAGGCATCTATGTTTTTTGGTAACAGAGTCTCCTGTAGTTCAGATTGACCTCAAACTCCACAGGTAGTTGAACTATTTTTTTTTTTTTTTTTTTTTTTTTTTTTTTGGTTTTTCAAGACGGGGTTTCCCTGTGGCTTTGGAGGCTGTCCTCGAACTCACAGAGATCCACCTGCCTCTACCTCCCGAGTGCTGGGACTAAAGGCATGTGCCACCAACTCCTGGCTAAGCAATGTTTTTGTTTTTGTTTTTTTGGTTTTTCAAGACGGGGTTTCCCTGTGGCTTTGGAGGCTGTCCTGGAACTAGCTCTTGTAGACCAGGCTGGTCTCGAACTCACAGAGCTCCGCCTGCCTCTGCCTGCCGAGTGCTGGGATTAAAGGCATGCGCCACCACCGCTGGGCTAAAGATTTATTTATTTTATTATGTATACAACATTTTGCTTCCATATATATCTGCACACCAGAAGAGGGCACCAGATCTCATAACGGATGGTTGTGAGCCACCATGTGGTTGCTGGGAATTGAACTCAGGACCTCTGGAAGAGCAGTCAGTGCTCTTAACCGCTGAGCCATCTCTCCAGCCTCGCCTTGAGGCTTTTGATCCTCCTGCATTAACCCTCCATGTGCTGTGATCACAGGCATGCACCATCATACCTCCCTGAAAATTTTAGTCTATAAAATGGAGTAATTGATAGCCATTCTCCCATAGGTTGCTTTTGAGTTTACATGTCATAGTGTAAATAGTTACTACAATGCTTGGCACATATCACATTCTCAGTAAATGCTGGTGTTATGGCTTCTTCCTGCCACTGGCATGGCCCACTTCCATACACTCTACTCTTCTTTATACCCCTCACTGCCAACTCTGATTCAGTAAAGCTGGAGCTCCTTCTGTAGGGCATGACAGTATACCAGACTTTGCCTGGACAATAGGAAACCTTTCCACCCAGACCCCACCAGGGCAGGACAGCAAGAGGGCTCTAGTGGGGGTGGTTTTAGGGCTCAGAATCCCAGATAATCACCTAGGCCCCCTCCCCACCACAGACGCTTATAATCAGAGCCGACGCAGACACACCTAACCCTGCCCTACCTCTGCCCCAGACCGAGGCAGGTCTGAACCTGAGCTGCCCCATTCTGGATGGTGGGGTGGGGTGTGAGTCTAAGGAGGAAGGCTGCGAATAAGAACAAAGCAGTGTGCACAGGTTATATTCACCAACTCTTCTTGGGAGGGGGTGGGGCGGCGAGAACCTAGGTCCAGAACCCTCGGTTCCATCCAGACTAGTCCCTCCTTTCTGCTCTCTTTTAAGGCACTAGGATACACGGAAGGAGGTGTGTGTTTGTGTGTGTGTGTGTGTGTGTGTGTGTGTGTGTTAGTGCTCCCACCTAGAATCTAAGATCTTGGGAGAAGAGGTGGATTGTGGTAGAGTACCAAGGTGGGAATAGGGGTGTGCAGGTGAGGTGTTCCTGGGAGACATTTGCCAATCTGTCCATGGAATGTCTCCTCAGCCTACACTCCCTGGGCGTGGCTGGTTGGTGCCTCCTTTTGGAGCGAACCCCTGGTGGCTGAGTGTGGCAGCTGCCGTGCCTGCTCTGCTGCTGTCCATCCTTATCTTCATGGACCAGCAGATCACAGCAGTCATCCTCAACCGTGCAGAATATAAACTGCAGGTAAGGCTGCCAGGTAAGGCCCTAGATAAGGGACAGAAACTCCAGAGTGGGGTCCATATGGCACTTCTAGCTTCAAAACAATCCCCATTTCCTGCAGAAGGGAGCTGGCTTCCACCTGGACCTCTTTTGTGTAGCTGTTTTGATGTTGCTCACATCAGCACTTGGGCTGCCCTGGTATGTCTCAACCACTGTCATCTCCCTGGCCCACATGGATAGTCTTCGGAGAGAGAGCAAAGCCTTTGTCCCTGGTGAAGCCCCCCACTTCCTGGGCATCAGGTAAAGCATGTAATCAGTAGGCTGGAGTGAGGAGGGAGCGGCAGAAGGGTTATGGGATGTGTGAGCTTTTGAGCATCTTGAATTCTAAGCTTATGCCCTTTAGGAACTGCAGTGGGGAAAGTAGGTGCACTTGGATGGATGAGGGGCCTCAAGAAGAGCGTTATATAGGTGATGGTAGTGCACACCTTTAATCCCAGCACTTGGAAGGCCAAGGCAGGCAGATCTCTGTGAGTTCGAGGCCAGCCTGGTCTCCAGAGCGAGTGCCAGGATAGGCTCCAAAGCTACACAGAGAAACCCTGTCTCAAAAAACAAACAAACAAAAAAAGAAACCCTATCTTTTGTTTTTTGTTTTTGTTTTTTGAGACAGGATTTCTCTGTGGCTTTGGAGACTGTCCTGGAACTCACTCTTGTAGACCAGGCTGGTCTCGAACTAACAGAGATCTGCCTGCGTCTGCCTCCCGAGTGCTGGGATTAAAGGCGTACACCACCAACGCCTGGCAAGAAACCCTATCCTGAAAAACCAAAATAAATAAATAATGAACTATGGAGTTGAGGATGGAATTCAGTGATAGTGTTCACCTAGTACATATAGGTCCTAGGTTTGATTCCTACAACTACTAAAACAAACAAAACCCACAATGGCTTGGTGAGGTGGTTTAGCGGGTAAAGGTACTTCTGGCCATGTCTCATGATTTCCTGGGATCTAGGTGGTAAAAGGAAAGAACTGACTCCTGCAAGTTGTCCTCTGACCATCACATATACACCAAGACAGGCACATACATGCATGTATGCATGCATGCATGCATACATACATACATACATACATACACATGCACAGTATAAATAAGTAGAATATAATAAAACATTAAAAAAACTCAAACAAAACATAATAACAATGAACCTGAACTGATGAGAGGCCTGGAGCCCCATGTGGGAATGCTTTGCCTTTCCTTTCACTTTTTTACAGCAGGCAAGGGGCCTTTGCCAGGTAACCTATAGAGGGAACCTCTCTTCTCTCTGGATGTCAGATCTGTGCTAGGTCTGGCTAAGGGGTCTAATCTGGGTGCTCCAGGAGCACTCTTAGACCCAGCTAATTCCGCTTTCTCCTCACAGGGAGCAGAGGCTGACGGGTTTGGTGGTGTTCATCCTTACAGGTGTATCCATCTTCCTGGCCCCTGTGCTCAAGGTACATGTTTGGCCAGGATCTGAGCCAGTGCAGCAATGACAACAGATCTGACTCTGGCCAAATAGGCCAGTGCAGCAATGACAACAGATCTGACTCTGGCCAAATACTTATAGTGCTCCAGGAACTGGAGCATTGTTTCAAAAATCCTCATGCTAACTAACCTGGGGAGACACACACACTCCACAAATGAGAAGCCTGAAAGTTAAAGATGTAAAGTAATTTGTCAGTGCCCACCAATTTCTCAGATTAAAAAACCCAGACTTCCAGAGCATGGTGGATTATACCTGTAACCTCAGAGCCAGGAGGTTGAGGCAGGAGGCTTGCTTCAATTTTGAGGCCAGCCTGTGTACACAGTAAGTTGCAGGCCAGCTTGGGCTATAGTGTGAGACCTTGTCTCAAAAGAAAAAAAAAAGTGGTGTGTGTGTGTGTGTGTGTGTGTGTGTGTGTGTGTGTGTGTGTGTGTAAGAGAGAGCTCAGTGAATAAAGATATTTGCTAACAAGACTGAAGGCCTGAATTTGATATTGTTCCTGGGTGTACAAGATGGAAGGAAAGAACTGATTCCAACAAGTTATTCTCTGATCTCCATGCTTGTACACACACACACACACACACACACACACACACACACACACCATAACTAGCTAGCTATAGAAGAAAAGGTCAACAAGCCAAGCAGCAAAGTAGTCAAGAAGGGTGTGGAAATGTCAAACAAGAGTCACTGGCAGAAGGACAAGAGCAGGAGGTTAGGCAGGGCCAAGGTCATGGAGGCTGGGTACAAGTAATGCAGTTGGAGAGCCAGATGGGCTGGATTAACCACTTGCTAAGTAGGTTGACTCTCATAAATGGTATACCAACCACTGTTCCAGGAATACAGTGGTGATTGCATATGTCTCTATTCTCCTGGGAGTCTGGTGAAAGAGGACAGATTTTTAGAAGTTAAAGCAATAGGATAACTTTAGGTGGCAGCTCCTATGGAAAAAAATAAAGTGGATAAGAGTGCTAGGGCTGGCCCAGCAAGATGGTTCAGTGAGCAAAAGCATTTGCCATGCAAGATGGATGACTGACCTGAGTGCACTCCCTATAACCCATGGTGGAAGGAGAAATCCACCCCCACAGCTGATCTTTGACCTCCATATGCAAGCAGTGGAACAGATACAGTAATAGTAGTAAATAAATATTTAAAAATTTTACGAACAGTGCCAGGGTTACTTCAGATTGAGCAGTCAGAGAAGACCTTTCCAGAGTGAAATGAGATGAATTTTGAGTGGATATAAAGTCCAAGAGAGTAGTATTTGATTGATCGATTGGTTGGTAGAGATAGGGTTTCACTATGTAGCCCTGGCTATCCAGGCACTTGCTATGTAGACCAAGGTGGCTCTGAATTTGTATACGTCTTCCTACCTCTGCCTCCCAAGTGCTGGATCACAGGTGTGTGTCGCGATGCCCAGGCATGAGGAACATTTTAGGAGGAAAGAATAGCAAAGCAAAAGGCTTTGAAAGGGTAAGGAACAAATGCCAGCAAATGAACAGAAAGTGGACAGTATGTGGAAGCATGTAGAGCAGAGGGCCATGTGATAATAAGAGGAAGCTGGGTGTGGTGGCACAATGTAATCCCAGCATCCAGGAGATTAGGGCAGGAGGATGTAGAGTTCCAGGATAGCAATATCACGATGGAATAAAAAGATTGGTGAGGTAGGTGAGGTATGGGTTACTTTGTCTGTTTCCTCATCTATAAAATGCAGACAGTAATAATAATCTACCTCATGTGATTGCATGAAAAGACTCAATGAAGTCAGGCATGTGGGGTGTGAAAGGAAAAGAAAGGCCTGGCAGGCTCCAGTCTGGAGGCCTAAGGTGGTGCACCTGAGAGGCTGGAAGGTAAGCGCCTTTGCTTCTCTCCTCTTCTGCTAGTTCATCCCAATGCCTGTGCTCTATGGCATCTTTCTGTACATGGGGGTATCAGCACTCAGCAGCATCCAGGTAAGCTCATTACAATCACCTAGCAACCCTACTCCTCTTCCCCACATTTGCCAATCTCCCTCATCTCCATTATCCTGCTCCTCCTGGACATAAGGGCATTGCTGCCATGCTCTAGATGGGGATGCCAAGGGAGCCTTCTTCCTTCCCCTTGCAGTGTGTGTAGACAACAGTGACACCCTCCAAATTATCCCATCATCCTGCTTTCTTTTCCTCTCATTCTCCCAGTTCATGAAGAGAGTGCAGCTATTGTTGATACCAACAAAACGTCAGCCAGACATGTTGCTCTTGCGGCATGTACCTCTGAGCAGAGTCCACCTGTTCACAGCTATCCAGATTGCATGCCTGGGTTTCCTTTGGATAATCAAGTCTACCCCTGCAGCCATTATCTTCCCACTTATGGTAACTTGGAGGGGGAGTGTTGAGCAGTTCTGGGAGACTCTGGGCTTGGGAGAGTGACTGAAGAATACTTTTCCCTGGCTTTTCCTGGTTGGAAATCCCAAGACTAAGAAAGATAGATAGGTGGCTGCGGGGTACTTACTAGTCCTAGGACTCTCAATTCACCAACTTTCCTAATTTGGGCTTGTCCACAAACCCCCAAAATAACTGAACTCCTGGAAGGGCAACATTGACACTTTGCTACTCAGTGGGGATGTCTGTTAAGACCCACAGGATTTGCAATAGGACCAACCTGGTTACTACATGCCAGGTATGTGACCTCAGGGAAGTTACTAATCTTTCAGGGCTTCAGTTGCCTTTTATGTACAGTGGGAGTAAATTGGGTGAGTTTTGCTTGTAACCCCAGTGCTTGAGAGGCTGAGGCAGATGGATCATATACTGTCTTAAAAATCAAAACAAAATAAAACTGAATATGGTGCTGAACAACTGTAATTCCAGCACTCAGGAGGTGGAGGCAGGGGAGATCACCCCAATTTCAAGGCCAGCCTGGTCTACATGGTGAGTTCCAGGCCAGCCAGAGCTACACACTGAACTACACAGTGAGATGTATCAAAAAAAAAAAAAAAAAAAAAGGCTAGGTATAATGGTGCACACTTGTAATTCCAACACTGACACTTGAGATTAAGGATCTGGAGCTCAAGGTCATCCTTAGCTACATGGCAACTTCAAGGCCAGCCTGAGGTACATAAAACCTTATCCCTAAAACAAAGCAATAGTGAACACACAAAAATGGGTCTACCTCATAGAAATGTGTCAGCACTCAGTGAAATAATAGGAAGCAAATAATAGGAAGCTGCTGTTGCTGACAGCCCTGGGGCTTGTTTCTGTTTCTGCAGTTACTGGGCCTGGTGGGAGTCCGAAAAGCACTGGAGTGGGTCTTTTCGCCACAGGAACTCCTCTGGCTGGATGAGCTCATGCCAGAGGAGGAGAAGAACATCCCTGAGAACGGACTGGAGCCAGATCGTTTGTTCAGCAGAAGTGACAATGAAGATGTGAGCTCCTGGCTAAGTCCTTCTAAGGGGAGGGAGAGAGGTTGAGAGACTAAAGTCTGCTATCTCCATTTAACCTCAAGACCTGATCAACATAGTCATTCCCTTTGTCTCTGTATCAATATAGGGAGAGTGAAGGGCTTAGGGAAATCTTCCCCCACAGGCAGAACTCTGGTTTATGGGCTAGGCACACAGCCCTGTGAGTTACCTTCTCAACTCTGAACTTTTGTTTTGAATGTGAATTCCTGAGTCCCTTTATTTATGCTTCTTTCTTATTTTTGTCTGTTCCCAAACAACTGTCTTTGGATATTTCTTCCACAGTCAGAACTGATGTATCAGCCAAAGGCTCCAGAAATCAACATCTCTGTGAATTAGTTGGAGTCAGAGTGTGGAGGCCCCGGGAAACAGACATAAGGTGAGGGTGTGGGGCAGAGTGCCCGTGGTGTTGGGAGAGGAAAGGTGTGGGGCCAGATCTTGCAACCTTCTGTTTGCTGGATGGATATCCTTGTTTTCTACTCATATTCCTCATGAACTCTGGAATTGTGGAGGAAGTAGAAGGAACTTCCCAGAGGGAAGAATGAATTCCCAGGGGCAGTTCTGAATTTTTGCCAGTAGAGGGAGTTCAAGCTTATTCCAATCAGATCCCAGGAGATGAGTTGCAGAGAAGGAAGATGAGATGCCCAGGAGGGAAGAATGGGAAGGACAGAGGGAAGAATAAAGCCTATGCTCCCTTCCTCTTCCAGGAGCCTCCTCCCTGAGTCATGGTAAGAACCATGTTCCCTCCAGACAAGTTGAGGGTTTTCTAGCTCTTGGTCTTCTAAACCTTCCACTTTATTCACCCATGCAGCACTTGTGATTTTTATCCATATAGAATAGACAAAACAACCATAGCCCCTGAGCTCAGGAAACTTAAACTGGAGTGGGAGAGGCAGAAACATGGGCAACTCTTAGTGGGAGACTGCTGGATAAGGAAAGAAGCCATGAAAGCAGAGAACTCTTGCATGGAGGTGCGGTAGGAGTAAGAAAAAGTTTAGTTAAAAGTAGCCCATAATTTGAAATCTGAAAATGAACAGAACTGAGCCAGTATAAGATGGAGGGAAAATATTATATGCAGATGCCACACCATGAGCCTAGAAGCTGAACTTTCCTTAGGGATAACAAGGCACCTCTCTCCATACTTCTACCTGTCCAAGAACCTCCCCACCACTTGAAAAGGACCTTTTCTTTCTTTTTTAATTGAGAAGGTATTACTATATAACCTAGCCTGCCCTCTAACTTGTGACCCTTCTGCTATATCCTGAGTGTGGAAAGACCCTATTAAAAAAAAAAGTTGTTTTTTTTTTCCAGAATAGGTATTCTCTACCTAACACTTTTTTATGCACATAAAATAAACTTTATTATTTTATTGATTACAAAAGTAAATGAAGTTACTCTAAAGTACTGAAACATTACAGAAATTTATAATTTTGAAATTGAAATTTACTGGAAATAACCACTACCCATATTTTCATGTTTGATACTAAGATTTATTTCAAGGAGCTGGGCAGTGGTGGCACAAGCCTTTGATCCCAGCACTCTGGAGGCAGAGGCAGGTGGATCTCTGTGAGTTCAAGGCCAGCCTAGTTCAGGCTGTCCTGGAACTTACTCTGTAGACCAGGCTGGCCTGAAACTCAGAGATCCACCTGCCTCTGCCTCCTGAGTGTTGGGATTAAAGGCGTACACCAACAACAACTGGTGTTTAATATGTTTATTAAATTGAATCATACTGTGGGCTTTCATAACATACCTGTTACTTAATATCCATTGGATAGTTTATCAACATATATATCTATCTCATTATCTATTGTCTTAGTAGCTTTTCTATTGCTGTGATAAAATACCATGACCAGATCAACTTATAAAAGAAAAAAAAATTTTTTTTTTGGTTTTTCGAGACAGGGTTTCTCTGTGGCTTTGGAAGCTGTCCTGGAACTAGCTCTTGTAGACCAGGCTGGTCTCGAACTCACAGAGATCCACCTGCCTCTGCCTCCTGAGTGCTGGGATTAAAGGCGTGTGCCACCAACGCCCAGATCATAAAAGAAAATTTTAATTTGGGGCTTCCAGTTTCAAAGAGTTAGAATTCATGACTGTCACAGTTGTAGCATGTCAGCAGGCAGGCAAGCATGGCACTGGAACAGTAACTGAGAGCTCACATCTTCAGTCACAAGCATAATGCAGAGAGAAAGAGAGAGAGAAATCCAGAAGTGGTCCATTGTTTTGAAACCTCAAGGCCCACCTCCCGTGACACACCTTCTCCAACAAGGCCACCTCTCCTCATCCTTCCCAAACAGCTCCATCGACTCGGGACCAAGTATTCATATATATGAGCCCATGGCTATTCTTGTTCAAACCACCACATATGCATGTGACAAATAATTTTATAAGTTGAAAAAGATAACAAAGAGTACACAAAGCATCTTCTGCAAGTACAAGAATTTCCATAGTGTATATACCTAGGAGTGGAATTGAATAATAATGAGTATGAAAATGTCACAATAAAATCCATCATTTGTATATAAACTTAAGGATTTAAATAATATATATATTATTTTTAGGGACTGAAGAGATGGCTCGGTGATTAGGAACACTTGCAGCTCTTCCAGAGGACCTGAGTTTGATGACCAGCATCCACATGGCAACTTATAACCATCCCTAACTCCAGTTCCAGGGAATCCAGTATCCTCTTCTAGCCTTCTTGAGTACCAGGCATGTACAAAGTACCCTTAAATACACGTAGGCAAAATACTCATACACATAAAATAAAAATAAATAAATCTTTAAAAAATACTTTGTGGGTAATAAAAAATAAAAAAATAACGATCCAGGTGTGGTAATGTACACCTGAAATCCTAGCACTGGGGATGCTGAAGCAGGAGGATTTCAAGTTTGAGGTAAGTCTAGGGTAGGTTCATGGCCAGCCTTGGCTACATAACAAGACTGTCTCAAAACACTAAAAACAAAGGAGTGCAACTAGTAACAAGGAAGGGGACAGGAACGAGTTCAAGAGTAGAGCTCTTGCTTAGGGAACACACGATCCCCAGATACTCCTGCCCTTCCCAAAGAGAGTAGCAATGAAACAAACACCTTTAGGTTAAAAATAATATCATAGGTACACATCTGCAATTCTGGAACTCAGAAGGTAGTGGCAGGAGAAATCTTTTTTTTTGGGGAGGGGGAAGCAGTTCAAGACAGGGTTTCTCTGTGGCTTTGGAGGCTGTCCTGGAACCAGCTCTTGTAGACCAGGCTGGTTTCAAACTCAGAGAGATCTACCTGCCTCTGCCTCCTGAGTGCTGGGATTAAAGGCGTGCGCCACCACCACCCAGCCAGACATGCTTTCTATATAACATTGTAATAATGAAGTAATTTCTTTAACTGGCAAACCTTTATATCTAAATCTCTGATAAAGTCCAATATTGTTTTCTTCCCTGGTGTTACTAGTGTTGACAACACAGGATTTAAGAAGGGCTTCTAGATGAAAACTTCCAGATAGAGTCCTGACCACTTTTCTTGCTTGGAGCTTCTACCAGACTCATGGCTCAAAAAGGCTTTCTGTACACATGCTCTTCGAGCCAAAGCAGACAACACGCCATTTCTGTAATGAAGAACACCTGGTAGGTGGCACTGCCACCTTGCCCTGCAGGTAAACGCCTTGCTGCGTCTCCTGATTTATAGCTTGCCTTGATGAGTGAGGGGTGTGGCAAACTGAGCTAGTTCAAACACTCCATAAGAGTTTCAGAGATCAGCCTGCAGAATGACTCAGCCCTCACCTGTAAGTTAAAATTGCTCCTCAAATTGGAGTCCTGGGACTGCTCCTTCCACAGTTTGGTAAGTGCTTCTAAGTCTCACAGAAAACAGTGGGACAGGTAAGATCCTGGATGTTATCTTAGAGATTTTCCCAGGAGATACTGACACTAATGCCCAGTTCTCCAGCTACTACTGTATTAAAAAGAGAAATATGAGAGAAGGCAAGATGGCTCGGAGGTAAAAGCACTTACCACAAAGTGCCCCCTCATCATACACACACAACAACAATAATAATAGAGGTGTGAGCTGTGAGTGATTGAGAACACCAGTATTATTGGTACCTGGGAAGTAGAGGCAGGAAGCTCATGAGTTCAAGACCAGCCTCAGCTATATTTGTTGTGTTTGAGGCCAATCCAGGGTATATGAGACCCTGTCTCAAAAACAACAGCCAGGTATGGTGGCCTATTCCCTTGATGCCAGCATTTGGGGGGATGGGGGGGCAGAGGCAGGGAGATTTCTGTGAGTTTAAGGCCAGCTTGGTCTACATAGTGAGTTCTAGGCCAGGCAAAGATATATAACAGGCCTTGTCTCTAAAAAGAAAATGAAAATAACCCCAAACCTTTTCAAATATTGAGTTCAAGTGAGGCCAGTCTATAGCTGGGGCCATACAGTAAGACCCTGTCTCAAAAATAAATTTAAAGAAAAAGTGATAGGATTAGGAAACCTAGAGGATTCCCAGGAGTCTTTCTGACTCAAAAGTGTTACCTGACTTGATGCCAGGCAGGAGCAGCCTGTGAAATGAGTGAGCTCTTGTGTTGGGGTTGCTATCTAATGGGCTCCCTCATCAACAAAGTGTTTATGTGAGAACCCAAGCTTCCACTGACCTGGGAACTTTAAAGACTAGCAGGACATGGCACTAACTAAGGAGAGCTTCTAAAGAAAGCAGGTGTGACTGCCTAAATTATAGTGTGTAGTGTGTAAGATACATATGAAAGGTACAAAGTGGATACTTTAGGCAAAAGCAGAAGTCTGGACTTTTCCAAGGGATCTATTATTGATTGTAGGCGCTTAGAACTTTTTTTCCAATAAGCATATACAAGCGTACACTGAGCTGCATTCCTGTACGGTTGCTGATATGCAATTCTCAGTTCTATGTTTGGCTTTTCCTTTACTATGTACCCCCATGGGGGGAAATGTCATAGAACTGTTACAAGTTTTCATCTTTCACTGGAAAGATTCATCTTCCTGGGAAGGTACTACCCAAAGTATAGTCTCCAAGGACTCACAGGGAGAAGGCACCTAGTCTACATTCTGCAATTTGGTGGCTTTTTGAAACATGTTTCTAGTTACTGTAGAGACACTGACCTGTGTTTATGTTAAGCAGCTTCTCAGGAGTTCTGGACTTCGAATAGGCTAAGTTCCTCCAAAGGATGAACCAGTCATCTACGCCTTTATCTGAAAAAAATGGTTGTTCCTAGCCCAGGCATGGTGGTGCATGCCTAAGATGCCAAGATGCACTTGGGAAGCCAAGGAAGAGAATTCCCTTGAGTTTAAGGCTAGAGTGAGATCATGTCTCAAAAAACAAAACAACACAACAACAACAAAAAACAAGTAAAAGAAGTACAAACAAATACCCATGCACACTGCCAAGTATCCCATTTGACTAGCTCTTCATTTTATACATATAGTGATTTTTTTAAAGACAGCTTCATGCAGTCATGTAGTCCAGGCTGGCCTTGAACATGCTATGTAGTCAAGGATGACCTTGAACTTCTAATTCCTGTCTTCTCCTCCAAGTGATAGGATTACAACCAATGCAACCATACCTGTTTTATTTATTTTTTTACTTACTGTTTTTCAAGACAGGGTTTCTCTGTACCTTTTGGAGGCTGTCCTGGAACTCACTCTGTAGACCAGGCTGGCCTCCAACTCACAGAGATTCACCTGTCTCTGCCTCCTGAGTGCTGGGATTAAAGGTGTGCATCACCACCGCATGGTTTGATGAGATGCTAGTGATCAAACTCAGGACCTTGTGCTTGCTAAGCTGGTACTCTACCAACTGAGCTATATTCCCACCCTTCTATAGTGATCTTTTTCTTACTACCTTACTGAATCTTCTGATTACACAGGGTAATGTATTACTTACAGATAAGTTGAAAACATAATTACATAAAAGTCACTGATGGGTCAGCAAGATGGCTCAGTGGATAAAGGGGCTTGCTACCAAGCCTGATGACCTGAGTTCAATCTCTAGCTAGAATGCACATGGGAAAGGAGAGAATCTACTCCCTCAAGTTGTTCTTGGTTCTGACCTCCACATACTTCCCGTGGCAATGCACATACCCGCTCACTCACACACATTTAAAAAAAAAAAAAAAAAAAAAGACAAAACCAACAAGGGGCTGGGGCTGGTGAGATGGCTCAGTGGTTAAGAGCACTTGCGGCTCTAGAAAAGAATCCAAGTTCAGTTCCTAGCACACGCATCATGTGGCTCACAATCACCTGTAACTCCAGCTCCAGGGAATCTGACACATATTGTGGCCTCCACAGATGTATATACACACACACTTACTTTAAGCAGAATGTAATCATATGTCTGGCATACGTAAATTTTGTTTTATTTTGAGATTAGGTCTTTCGTAGCCTAGGCTGGCCTCAAACTCACTTTGTAGCCATGGCATTAGAATGGTGTGTACAGCCACACCCCTTTCCTTCTTTCTTCCTTCCTTCCTTCCTTCCTTCCTTCCTTCCTTCCTTCCTTTTTTTCTTCTTCCTTTATTTCTTTTTTGCTATATAAAGTCCCATTTTATTTTTTCAACGTGTTTGTCTTCATGAAGCCATCTCTTTACATGGTCTTTGGTGGCGGTTGTGGTGCAGCACCAGCAGGTCTAAATCATGGTGGGGTTGTTAAGTCCTTCTGGGCTTTCCGAGATCAATTCCTAACTACTTTGCTATGAATAGCACAGCTCACACAGTAATGCAGCTTGACATAGAGCGTGGGGAGAACGTAAGCGTCGAAGACACTTGCTTCAGATATGTCCCTGACAGCAGCGGCCTCTACAATGTTCCGAATGATGAACTTTTTAATGGCCTTGTCCTTGGGCATGCACCGGGCACAGTTCATGCAGCGAATTGGCTGCACATGGCTGTGGCCCTTTTTGGCTCCCCCGTTGTTTCGTCTTTTTTTGGTCATCTTGGAGCCAAGACCTGAAAGATTCTTTCTTTCTTTCCTTCCTTCCTTCCTTCCTTCCTTCCTTCCTTCCTTCCTTCCTTCCTTCCTTCCTTCCTTCCTTCCTTCCAAGATCTCACTCATCTGAACTTGACCAGGCTTGCCTTAAACATGTGGCGCTAGGATTGGAAACATAGTGCAAGGGCTCACCTGGGAGCCTGGAATGGTTTGGAACTCACCATGTAACCCAGGCTGACCACAAGATCCAGAACCTGCCTGGACCTCTCCAGTTTGGAGATTACAAGTGTGTTCCACCATAGTCTGCTTCCTTAACTGATTTGTTCTTTTCAGGTTAGGTCTTGCTGGCTTGGACTTGCTTGCCAGGTTTGCCTTACCTCTTGATCAACCTCTATTTACCTCCTAAGTGCTGAGCACTACCATGCTGGGCTTCATTAATTTAAAAAATGGTGATGGACTGGGCACTGGTGGCTCACACCTTTAATCCCAGCACTTGGGAGGCAAAGGCAGGAAGATCTCTGTGAGTTTGAGGCCAGCCTGGTCTACAGAGTGAGTTCCAGGACAGGTTTCAAAGCAATACAGAGAAACCCTGTCTCGAAAAACCGAACAAAAACATAAATAAATAAAATGGTAATGGGAGCTGGAGAGATGTCTCAGTGGTTAAGAGCACTTGCTATTCTTCCAGAGGACCTGAGTTTGTTTCCTAGCACCACCTATGACAGGCAACTCACAACCCCCTGTAATTCCAGCTACACAGTGGAGATAACATATTCTAGCTCTGAAGGCACCTACATACATACACACAGTAAATAAATAAAAATAAAATCTGTGTGCCTGCACATCTGTGTATGTGTGTGGACACAAGCATAGATGGTGAGTGAGGCAGCTAGTGAGAGCCAATTCTCTCATTCTACCATGTGGGCTCCTGGATCACCCAGGTCTTGGCAGTAAGTGTCTTTACCTGCTGAGTCATCTTGCTGGTCTTTCATTAGGTTTTGCAAGTACAAGTGTGTAAATGCATGCGCGTGTGCATGTTGTGTGAGTACATGTGTGTAGAGGCTAGAGGTCAACCTTGGGTTTGTCATTCTTCAGGCACCACCCACATTTTTGCATGTGATATATGTGTGTATCTGATTTATATATGTGGAGTTTACATTTTAACTAAATTGACTGGCAAGCAAGCCCCCAGGATCTGTCAGTTTTATACTGATCCATACCCTCCTACCTCCACCCCAGCACTGGGGTTACAGACACATATATAGTTGGCTTTAAAAAAAATTATTTTAAATTATGTGTATGTGTGTCTGCATATGAGTATGTGCATCTGAATTCAGTGCATGCAAGGGCCAGAAGTGGGTATCAGACCCCTTGAAGTTTGAGTTAAAAGAAGCTGTGAGGTGCTCAACATGGTGCTAGTCCTCTGTAAGAGAAATACATACTCCTAACCACTGAGCCATCTCTCCATCTCCCGCCAAGAGACAACATGACCATGGCAACTCTTATAAAGGAAAACGTTTAATTGGGGCTAGCTTACAGTTAAGAGGTTTAGTCCATTATTGTCATGGCAGGTGGCATGAAGGTAAACATGGTGCTGGAGAAGAAGATGGAGAGTGCTACATCTTGATCCTCAGGCGGCAGGAGGAGACTGTGTGTCACACTGGGCATAGCTTGAGCGTATGATACCTCAAAGCTCACCTCCACAGTGACACAGTTCCAGCAACAAGGCCACACCTCTTAATAATGCCACTTCCTATGGGTCAAGCATTCAAACACATGAATCTAAGTGGGTCATTCCTATTCAAACCACCAAACCCTCCTTCTAAATTTTACTTTTGCTTATATGTATATCAGTTTGTATGCAGGTGTCCAAGGGGGCTAGAGAGAAAGGTGTTGGATCCCCTGAAGCTAGAATTACAGATGGCAGTGAGCTACATGATGTGGGTGCCAAGAACCAAAATCAGGTCCTCTGTAAGATCATCAGAAGCATTCTTACTCTCTTGTTTTCCTCAATATTGAGACAGGGTTTCACTATATAGCCCTTGTCTGTCCTGAAACTCACTGTGTAGACCAGGCTGGCCTCAAACTCATAGAGCTCTCTCTGCCTCTGCCTCCCAAGTACTGGGATTAAAGATATGCACCACCATGCTTGGCTTAAAAAAATCTGTATTCACTTACTTGATGTGCATGAATGCTTTGCCTATATGTATATATTTACATGCATGGCATGTTGTGCCTGCTGTTCAAGGTCAGAAAAGGGGGTCAGATCCCCTGGAACTGGAGTTATGACTTATGGATGATGATTTTTCTTTGTTTGCTTTTTGTTGTTGTTGTTGTTTTGTTTTGAGACAGGGTTTCTCTGTATAGCCCTGGCTGTTTTGGAACATGCTCTATAGACCAGGCTGGCATTGAACTCAGGAGATCCACCTGACTCTGTTTTCCTGGGACTAAAGGCATGTGCCTCCATGCCCTGCTAATGGATGGTTGTAAACCACCATATGGTCCCAGGTCCTCTGCAAGAGCAACAAGTGCTCTTAACTGCTGAACCATCCCCCCAGCAACAACAACTCTTAACCACTAAAGCATTTCTCCAGCTCCAATACCTGGTTTTTATGATCTGAATTGAGGTCCTCATGTTTCTGCAAGCAAGTACTTTATCTACTAAGCTATCTCCCCAGTTCACCTTCAGAAGAGAATTATAAAGATTTAATGACATCATCAAAGTGAAACAAATTTATTGGTTTACTTTTGCTTTCTTTGTATAGATGGGATGAACTATGATAAACTGTTATGTAGAAATTCACTGTTCTGAGAAAATTCAGGTTCCATGGGAAAGAACTCCATGCATGGGCTGGAAAGGTGGCTCAGTGGTTAGGAGCAGTTGCTATTCTTCCAGAGGACCTGAATTTAGTTCTAAGCACTCATATCAGGAGGCTCCCAACTCCTGTAGCTCCAGGGAGATCAGATATCTCTGTAAGTACTTCTACTTAGGTGCACATACCACCCCCACCACATATGCACATAACTAAAAATAATAAAAATAAATCTTAAAAAATACAAGCAGTCAGAGTCCCTGCATTTATGATTTTGTTTGTCAAACTCATATACATAGCTGATAGGGGAGATACTATGATCAAGAGAACGGCTTTCCCAGGAAAAGGCTTATCCATTGGTTTCTGACATACTGATCTCCACAATTTCTTCAAACATCAGAAACTCAAATGCATAATTTGAGTTGGGGGAGAATTTTCTCAAGCTTTCTTGCTTTTTTTCTTACCACCACCACCACTACCAACAACAACCCAACAACCCAACAACCCAACAACAACAACAACAACCCAACAGGCCTGAAGAGATAGATGGCTCTGGGGATAAGAGCACCTACTATTTTTGAAGAGAAACAGAGTTTAGTTCCCAGCACCAAGTGAGTGGTTCACAGTGCCTGTAACTCCAGCTACAGAGGATCCAACTTCTCTGGCCTCTGAGGTCACCTATACTGAAATGCACATACCTATATTCAGGCACACATACACATAATTAAAAATAATTCTTAAAGATCCATCATATTATGAGGAATGAGCCTCTATTAAGTTTTAAGAATTCTTCTATTAGATGGCAGTGACAGCACATGTCTTTAATCCAAGTACTCAGGAGGCAGAGGCAGGCAGATCTCTGAATTTGAGACTAGCCTAGTCTACAAAGTTCCAGGACAGCAAAGGCTACACAGAGAAACCCTATCTCGAAAAGCCAAAACCAAACCAAACAAAACCAAACCAAAAACTTCTATTATGTTTTAAGAATTCAACTTTTGGGTATGGTAGCACATGCCATCCCAGCACTCAGGAGGACTACATAGTGAGACTCTGCTCCACTACTCTCACACCTCCAAAACACAAACAAAAAACTCTGAAGCTGTAGAGATTGCCTCCACTTTCTTTGCCTGTCTAAAAAAAAAAAAAGTACACACTTGGAAACATTATAAATACACTGTATATTACTGGGGATGTAGCTCAGGAGTAGAGGCCTCACCTAATGTACATGAAGCCCTGTGTGAGGTCCTCAAAGCCTAAAAATACAAAATACAACAAACACAGTGCAGTAAGTACTCCTGTTAGTTTTCTGTGGGACAAGTTTTATCTAATGATCATTTCTAACAATATTGACTGACTAAGACAGGGTCATGCCATATAGCTCAGTTTGGCTTTGAATTCTCAATTCTCCTGTCTCAGCTTCCTGAGTGGTAGAATTACAGGTGTGAACCACTATACCCAACTCAACAAGCACACATGCATACACACATGTATGGCTAGTCCAGGCTACAGAGTTCCAGTCAATAACATCAAATGTGCCAAGTGGCACTAGCCTTTATTCCAACTAGTTTGAAGGCAGAAACAGGGCGATATCTGTGAGTTTGAGGCCAGCCTGATTATACATGGTGAGTCCCAGACCAGTCAGAGCTACATAATTAAAACAAACAAATAAAAACAAATAAAAATCCAGCCAGACACAAGAGGTGGAAGGGAGAAGGTCAGAAGTTCAAGACCAGACTCCTCTATGTTGAAAGTTTGAAGCCACTCTGCACTATGTGATACCCTGTTTCATAAAACAAAAATCAGGAGCAGGTGAGATGGCTCACTGAGTAAATAACAAGTCTAGAAACCCCAGTTAGACCCCTGGCAACTATGTAAAGGGGAAATGAGAAAACCCATTCCACCAAGTTGTTCTCTGACTTCACACTAGCACTGTGGAACATATGCACGCGCACACACATGCTCATGCTCATGCTCTCTCTCTCTCACACACACAGATTTTAAAATTAAAGAAAAATAAAAGAGGCCTGGAGAGATAGCTTGGTGATTAAGAGCACTGGCTGTTCTTGCACCCACTGGGTGCAAGATTCTGATTCCTAGCACCTACATGGCAGCTCACAACCATCTGTATTCCAGTTCCAAGGGATCTGACATCCTCTTCTGGCCTCTTTGAGCCCCAGGCACACATGTGTTACACAGAAACTTGTAGGCAAACACTTATACACATAAGAAATTAAAAAAAAAAAAAAAAGCACAGGGCTGGAGACATAGCTCCTTGGTTAGGAGCACTGACTGCTCTTCCAGAGCACCCTGGTTCAATTCCCGGCACCCACATGGCAGCTCACAACTGTCTGTCACTCCAAGATCTGACACCCTCACACAGACATATATGCAGGCAAAACTTTTTATTTTTATTTTTTTTAAAGCAGAGCTGTAGTGACATGGAATAGTCAATCATTCTGAACCACACAGCAGTCACCAAAATCTAGGAAACTTATAGTTTCATAATGATAAACTACTGTCAAGTGTTTCAGAAACAACGATTATTGCTCAATCATATTGACCATGCTCCCAGGGTTAGTTGCTAGGTATTGAATCAAGAAGAATGTAGTTCTTAAATGGATGGAGGAAATGAAAATAGCTTTCAGTTTCCTCTCTTTCAGATTTGTTAATTTGTTTAAATACTTTAATATATTTATTCATCAAGTTGCATCAGAAATTATTTTTGTACGGGTGGTAACAATGACAAGAAGGTCCTTCATAATGTTGCACCAGTCAATACCTGCTTTTGCCTACGGATGTATCCAAACCAATTCTGGATAATCAAGCTTTGGAGTGGGTTGGGCATGCTAAGGTTTTTTTTTTTTTTTTTTTTTTTTTTTTTTTCTTTTTTTTTTTTTTTGTTTGGATTGTGAGCTAGTCACACATGCCTTGAACATTGGAGGATGCAGGCTAATTAAAACTGTATATGTTATTATGTTATCTAGGGCACACCTTTAATTCCAGCGCTTGGAAGGCAGAGGCAGGTGGAAGGCAGAGGCAGGTGGGTCTCTGAGTTTCAGGGTAGCCTGGTCTACAAAGCAAGTTCCAGGACAGCCAAGACTACACAGAGAAACCTTGTCTTAAAAAACCAAACCTAACCAAACTAAAAAAACAAAACAAAGAACCCAACAACAACAAAACCTGTATATGTTGTTTTTATATATAAAGTTATATAAAATAAGATCTCTCACATTTTCTACAACTTACTATCTAGAAACAACATTTGCTTAGTATGTTGTTATCATAGGAAATACTTTCCTTCTTGGCATATGAAATGCAAAATAAGCAATTATCAAGTCTAAGAAATTTTAAAAATGTTTGGCAGAACTAATGTTTGGCAGAACAAGCAAGCCTGATCATGCCCAGAAAAAAAAATTACTATATTTTTAAAGTTTTGGTGAGCGTGGCTTTTAATAGCACAACCATCTTTCCAGCCTGTTTATATTCTTTATAGAAATTTCAAAACCCAATTTAACGGAGGTGAAATACTGGATATTGCACAACCGAGACAGATACAATTCTGTAAATCAGCTGGGCAAAAGAAACATTTGTCATACAAACTTGACCAAACTCCTTTGTGATTTTTAATCATGACTTAGTGAGGAACTGTAACACTTTGAACCATTTTTATTGATAAAAGAGAGGAGAGGGAGAGGAAGGGGAATCATTAGAGGCAGGTGACTTCCTTGGTCAATAACTTTGTCAAGAATTGGTTAGGCTGGCAGAAACCAGTACGGGCAGCGAACTCCTGAAGAAAGAGGGAGGATTAACTGAGAAAAACGAATCTTCCCTGTAAGTTGGTCGCTCTGCTAAGCTCTGCGTGCCATCAACTTTAATTTATAACCACCTCCTGGGGAGGGTGCGCACGTTCCCATTTTACAGAGTAACAACAAACGCGCCGAGGTCATCCAACAAATAAGTGTCGGCACCGGACCAGAAACAGCCCTCTAGCACGCCTTCTTATCCGCGTCCAGGCTGGCGGTCGCA